GACCGGCAAAGGCTAGCGAGATGGAAATAACAAAGAAAAGAGTAGCGCAAATCGTGGACGATTAGAAGTTACTACGAAGAAAGATGGCTATCCGCTAGACGCAAAGATGGACTTAATCTCACGCATGGTATTCTCGTCGAGGAAGAAGCTCTTGACTAACACCTCGTCCAAGATATCTCCGGATCCAAACAAGGAGTTTGCGACGAACTGGAAGCCCGGAGACTGGGAATTGAGCGTGACGATCCCAGTCGCGGTGCTCTTCCCGACGTTGAGCTGCCAGTGGATCAATCCCCGTGGGAACATCATCACCTCGCCCTCGGTGATCACTCGAGCGAAGACCCTGTTGTCCGTGCTCACAAATCCAGCGTACAAGCTCCCGGTGACAACGTAGATGATCTCCGACGCGCGGGGATGGGTGTGCGGAGTGGTCAAGCCGCCAACCGCGAAATCCAGCCTCGCGATCGAGATGCCGAGCGTGTTGAGGCCTGGGTACTCGCGGACGGATCCAGGCACCACTCCAACGCCGAACGGGTTGCTCGTGTTTCCCGGGTTTTTCAGCGCGGCAAAGATGAAGTCCTCGGTGGTGGCGGCCGAGGCGTCCTTGCAAGGGAAGCCATTGATGGTGAGATCCTTGGAGAGATCGGCAACGCAAAAGTCTTGCAGTGGATCCGGATCGGCGGCATTGACGATCGCAAGAACGTAACATAACAGCAGTAGCAGCAGAGAAGCATTCAATGCCATTTTCTGCGAGCTAGATAATCAAACTATGGATGATCAATCTAGGAGCTTTGAATTTATATTCAAGAGTAACATCTTTTGTCACGAAACGAAGTACCTCATGATCTTCGAATGACTTGGTGCCATACACGCATGGAATTTTGGAAGCAACAAGAAACTCCACAAGTGAGAACTCTTGAAAACTTTGCTTGTCAAACCAAACGATTTCGCTATCAAGAAAATTCTGTTTCTTCTGTGAAAAAGGATGGCTGCCTTTCGCGGGCTCGATACCTTTTACACAAGTGCTTGGCTGTGCGATGTAAACAATCTGTTTTCCAAAGCTATGAAATACCTTTCGCGAGCTCACAAACCCAAGGGACCGGCATTTGCTGTAAGCCGAGTTACCATTGACGCGGATCTCGTCGCAAAGTATTGTCCACCGCTGTAGTGTGGCGAGGCGTCTCCACCTCCAGACTCTACAAAGTAGGCCCCGTTTACAAACAGGTCTCCAGAAGACTGCCATAGCCAGTTTGATCCACCCTTCGCTTCTCGTTTCGTCACCTGGAATGAGAGAGAGAGAAATGTAAGAACTTCGTTTTAGAGTTGTGTGAAACTTTGAATACCTGCTTGGCGCCAGTAGCAAGGAATCTGTTGGCTTCACTGAAGAACGTTGGATTGGCACTGCCACCGATTGCGTACATGTCCCAGTTTTCATAGTTGTTGTTCACGACATGGAAGTAGCCAAATCGCCCCCTGGAAAAAACAAAGCTCTTGTTAAATATTTCGGAAGAAACGAAGTAAAAACAACAAAACCTTGGCATACGCTGCACACATCCCACGAAGTGATTGTAAACAACGGTTATTTTCATGTTTCTGTCCGCCGAGTAGCTATCGGAGTGACCGAGGAGCATTACCTGCAAAGATACGATCCGGTCAGCTCCTAGGAAAAATTATAAAAACAAGAAAAAAGAAAAGAAAAGAAAAACACTACCTTGTCATGGTCAGAGAAATAGTTGTTTGAGATAGTGATTGCTGTGGATCCGTGAATAGCGTCGATCAATCCATCCTGCGCCCTCGATAGCGAGCAGTGATCAATCCAAACGTTGCTGGAGCCGAAGATAGCAATGGCATCTCCATCTGACCCTCCTCGAAAGCCTGTGTGATCGACTGACGAAATAACTCTTCCGGACGAGCTCGGCTTGCAGTCGCGCAAGGTGAGGCCGTGGATGATAACGTGGTCGACGTACTGGAGAGTGAGGCACGGCCCGTTTAGTCCTATTTGCACGTTAGCACCTCGTGCATCGATCGTCTTGTAGCTGGTGATCAGCAGCTCGGCCTTGAGCCTGATGTTCATGTCTCTCGAGAATGTGATCCAGAGCGGGCCAGACCGAGTCACTCCGTATCTGAGAGTACCAGGCCAAGGTTGCACGGGATCATCACCAGGATCAGTGACTTGATAGACTTTACCACCCCGGCCACCAGCAGCACCGGCTCCAAATCCCACAGCACAGTCGGCCAAGTGCATACGATCGCCCCTCCAATCACCCCCCATCCAGCAGTCATCGATCGTGTTCCCGGTGAAGCTTGAGGTAAACGAGACGTACTTTGGTTTGTAATAATTATAAGAACTCCTGCAAAAGAAAGCAAAAACCGTGAGTGATTGATATGTGCTTACTAGGAACTCACTTCTTCTTCTTCTTCTTCCTCTTCTTCTTCTTCTCCTTCTTCTCTGAAGCGAGCAGCTTCCGTCCAGTGCCATCCAGCGGCACAGGAATCACAATCTCCTTCTCACTGCTCGTAGCTAGCGCATCTGTCGGTTCGTTTTCAAGGGGCCAGCCAAGTCGCAGGCTCAAAAGCAAACACCATACCAGAAAGCTCCCAAGACTTCCCGGCATTGCGAATGACAGTTGAGTTTCCCGCTCGTCTGAAACCACATATCTGTTAGTCGCTTATATACAAACGGGATCTAAGCTCGCTGTAGCGCTGGGAGCACGTCTAGCACGACTCCATGTTCACCTTGCACGACTTCATGTTCTCGCATGTGTTTTGTTGCTTTAACTTGTTTTCAGGGATATAGAACGGCACCAGCACGTCTTCCACAATCAGTTCGATCGTGGTAGTTTTCACCAAGCCAATTGGTCAATACTGCGAGGACTCTAGAGAACATAAGAGGAAAACTTTGGGTTTGAGTATAAAAGTAACTAAAAACCAGTATAGGATACTGATAGGATACTCGGCAGCTCATCTTCTTCGGTGCTTTGACGACTCCCTTCTGTCCCTGCTAGAATGGGAATCACTCCGGTCAGCGTCACTTTCCCACTTGTTACTTCGGTCTTTGCTCGTATACCTCTCACTTGATCTCGCGCGATCCCTGGAATGTTTCCCCGTATCCCTCGAGTAGTTTTTCTTATCCCTGTAATCATATTTGCTCCTGTTCTTCTCGTGCGTCTGTGCGTGGTCTGCCCCACCATCTCTGGTTGACTCTGGCTTGCGAGAGGATTGGCCTTTGAAAGAGCCAATTCCCCCGGCTACAACGATTTGCTCCATGTGGCTTTCAATGATATCCCGCAAGACCTTCACGTTCGAGATCATGAGAGAAAAAACTGAAGGCGAAATTAAAGTGTCGGATACGCACCTGAGATGCTGATCTTCGCACTTTCTTGCCTTTATAGGACATACGCCTTCGCTTATAATCTCTCTCGTCCGCTAGAAGCTCCTCCTTCGTCTTTGACTTTGAGGAATCCTGGAGGATCTCAAAAAGTTATACAAGAAAAAAAAAAAAAGACTCAGCAAACAATGATATACCTCGGCCTGTGAACGCTGCCAACCGAGACCATCGTGCTCCAAAAGTGGTCTATATTCTGATCGCTGTGGACGCTCTTCAGCAGCCTTGCTCACCAGAACGTCGTAGTCATCTAAGCTGCAAAGACGAAGTAGCTCATTACGATTACCAAGTATAAGTATATCAGCTACTCACCATCTCGCATTCGTCAAGGTGCTCATATACACCCGAGCTCTCAAATAACATTCCAGAGCTGTCCGTTCTTGCAAAGCCTCGACGACGGGTTCGACGTCACAGCGTGCTAGCTGTCTACCATCCTCATCGTTATGCTGCTGTTCGGAACTAGAAAGCTTGTCAAGAGCCGAGTGCCGAGCAGACAATATTAAGAGATTCTGTAGCAGTCCCAGGATAAAGGCCCCAGCAGCTGGTCGTTGATACAAACAAAACAGTTGAGATATCAGCCAATTCCCAGACTCAAGCAGCACAGGACAGTTGAGTTGACTCACTTTGTGTCTCGAGATCCGGTCACCATTCCACGTACCAAGCGCTTCTCTTTTGATGGACGCCAAGAACAGCGTCACCAGTCCGGAAAGATGATGAGCCAGGACGGGATCCAACACTACTCCATGCCGAACGGAGTTTAGAAGTAGCCAGCCTGCGATCCTCTCCTTGTCAATCTTCATTCCTAAGATCGATATCAAAACGTTCCACGAGTAACTCCGAGGGAGAGATGTCCAGCTCTTCACCTCCTCTTGCAAAAGCCAGCACTGAGAAGGCAAAAGAGTATCCAACTGTTCTAGCGTCGGTAGCTTCTGTCGATCATCCTCAAGCTCTAGCTTGATACAGTCGGGCAAATCTGGAAAACCAGCCTGCTGTTGATGGGAGAGAGGTTGATCGGCCGAGACGGGACCGGGAGCATCCCTGTACCAAAACTTTGTCCCAGAAGGATCAAAGAAAATCTTCTCTTTGGTCTCTTCCTGCGTTACTCCCGGTGGCTCTGGCTGCTGTTCCAACGGCACTTCCTTGCGTAAGTACCTGAGAGACGCGACGAGACTAGCAGCCTCGTCGTCCAATCCAAGCGGCGAAGCAGGACACCGGAGCGAGTGCTGGAGAAGCGCCCTGGCGGGCATGGTGTGGCGGTAATCGAAAGGACACTGAAGAAGCACCGAGCCCGGACTGGACGATCTGGAACCGGGCAGATCGACAGCGCCTTGGATGTCTTTCAGGATAGCTTCCGCCCGGGAGCAAAATCCGCTAATCGATTCCTTGTCATGATCTTCAGGCATGTGAAGCGGTGGAGCTGGAATCGAGAATTCCATCCCCTGTGGAACCTGGCCCTGCATTACCTGTTCCGGCGCGCCATTCCTGCTCTCGCCAAGAACCCTAGAACGCTTAAGCCCTAGGCGGGAGTTTACTGATGAATTATGGAACGGAATCCGTGGCGTTTCTTACATCAACGGCCTGGATTCATTCCATTTGAACTTCCTTCCAGTAGTGCGCCTAGGGTTTTTAGCTCCAGTGGACAGCAGCGTCTTCTCCGGCGACAATCCCGCGGAGCTCCGGGCCGCCTGTGGTGAGTGATTGCTCAGCAGATTTGTCTCCTGGATCTCGCGAAATCGGCAAAGATCCAGGGATTTCTTCGCAATGCTGGCTCTAGATCTCGAGAGCGCCAATCCGGAAGCTAGCAGCGCCTCCAGAACGCAGCGATTGAAGCTGGGGAGCGTGAAATTCTGCTGCGCGGCATAGATTCTGGAGAGATCTCTCAGCGGCGAGAAGGAAAGAATGCGGTTGGGGAGCATTCTAGTCTTGCTCACGGTGTGGAGATTTGCGCTGGGGCAGCCAGCGGGAGGAGACGATGCGCAATGCCTCCGCGGCCTCAAGATGGGATTCCAGGACGTCCAGCGCTCTCTCTTCTCGACGTGGAACGACTCGACTCTCCAGAATCCATGCTTCAAGCAATCCTTCACTTCGCTCACGGGGGTCAATTGCAACGACAACAAGGTGGTCTCCATTTTCCTGGGGGGAAGAATGCTTGGCGGGACGATCTCTCCAGCGATCACCAATTGCTCCAACTTGAACACGCTGGATCTCTCGGACAACCAGCTCACAGGGGTCATTCCATCGCAGATCGGCCAGCTTAACATCCTCGCGAAGCTGAACTTGGCCAACAACAGGCTGGGTGGTGCCATCCCGGAGAGCTTGGCAAACTGCACGTACCTGAGCGTTTTGGATCTTCACAAAAACGCTCTCACCGGACAGATCCCTGTAAGTCTGGGGAGCCTCCAGCGGCTCAACAGCTTCGACGTTTCATACAACGATCTATCAGGTCCCATTCCTTACGCGCTCGCCAACACCTCGGCTGGGATACGTTTCAATGCTTCAGCTTTCGCTGGGAACAAACACCTCTACGGGTATCCTTTGCCCGAGCCCAAGCCGAGGAACCTCTCCATCCTTGGGATCGTGGGAATTGGTCTGGGGAGTGGGATGCTGAGCTTGATAGTGAGCTTCACGGCTGTGTGCATATGGCTGCGGCTGTCCGAGCAAAGGCTTGCAGCGGAGGAAGGGAAAATCTCACAGTTGATGCCGGAGTGAGAGACCGATCCATTTCGGGGAGGAGAGAAGAAGCAAAGGAAGTAAAGTGGTAACAGTTCGAGTTTCATTCTATGTGGGACTGAAGCGGGTTGTGCAGGTCTAGCGAAGCTTAGAAGAAATCAATATCCTTGTCTGACAGATTTTTCAGAATAAGAAAAGTTAAGCTTTTTGTTCTGGATTCTCCGGCTCTGGTTTTGTTTCTTTATAGTTTGTCTCTCGTGCGGAGCTTGTTCGATACAGGTATGCAATGACGCTCTTTTCGATTTTGTCTACTTTAACAACTTGTTTCCAGATCCCGAGTACGCGTTTGCGAGCAACGTGTACGCAACGCATCGCTTTGGATCCAGCTCCACAATCTTCTCGGCAGCTCTCGCTCCCCGTTTCACGTCGTGATGGATTTTGCAAGCTGCCAGCAGCACCGTCCACGGCAGTCCGTCAGGCTCAAACGGCATTTCCAGTATCAGGTTCTCTGCGATGTCTGTTCTACCACTTCGGCCTAAAACATCAACCATGCAGACGTAGTGCTCGAAGATCGGCTCCAGGCCGTAGTCACTAACCATGGACTGGAAGAAGCTCGTCCCGCATTCGAGCAGCCCGCCATGGCTACAAGCGTGAAGGACGTTGACGAACGCAATCTGGTTTGGCTTGAAAGCTTCCAGGCACATCAGACGGAAGAAATCCACAGCGGCCTTTCCACGGCCGTTGTGAGCGTAAGCAGCAACCAGGGAAGCCCAGGTGATGCAGTTGTGATGAGAGATTTGGAGGAAGACAGCCTTGGAGGCCTCTGGAGCTCCACAGTTTGCGTACATGGTGATCAGAGCAGTGGCGGCAGTGATGTCGACCGCGAAGCCGGCGTCCACCATCAAAGTGTGGACGAGTTTTCCGTGTGCCAGAGAGTTCGTGCCAGTGCAAGCGCCGAGAACCGCTAGGAAGGTGATCTTCGTGGCCTCAACGCCCTCCAGGTCCATCGCTTTGAAGAGACCGAAGGCTTCCTTGCTGTGGCCCGACTGGACGTAGGCCGTGATGATGGAGTTCCAAGACGAGGCGTTCCGGACGGTCATGGAGAGGAAGAGCTTCATGGCTTCTTCGATATGTCCTCGTCGGGCATAGCCAGCGACCATCGAGTTCCAGCAGACAACGTCGCGGTGTGGCATTTTCTCGAAGATGGCTCGAGCTTGAAGCATGCTGCCGTGCTTGGCGAAGACGTTGAAGAGAGCAGTGGACAGGATGGTGTGCGACTCCCATCCCAGCTTGATGATTCTGGAGTGGATCTCTTGGGCTTTTTCTAGAGCTCCGAGGCTCTCACAGGCTTGGAGAGCGTGGATCAAAGTGATCTTGTTCAGCTCCTCGCCCATTTCATCAAACAGGTCCAGTGCTTCCTGGCTTTGGCCGCTGTGAACAAACGCTGCGATCATGGTGTTCCAGGTAACGACGTTTTTCTTTGGCATGCGGCTGAAAAGTTCCCTGGCTTCCTGCAGGTGCCCGTTCTGGGTGTATGCCGAGATGATGATGTTCCAAGAAAAGACGTTGGGCGATTTGAGGCCCTGGAAGACTGCCAAAGCTTCCTGGTGCTGGCCGCAGGTTCCATACATTTGGATGAGAAGATTGGCGAGGAATACGCTCTCAATCAGCCTGGTTTCCAGCAGAAGGTGGTGCAAGCGTTTGCCTCCTTCGAGTGCTTTGGTTGCTGTACACTGCCGAAGAAGCGTTTCGTAAGTTTTGATCTCATCTCTCTCAGTCCTTCCTAATCGTTGTTGCTGCTGCAGTTCTTCCAGACGATCCAGCTCTTTCTTGAGCTCTTGATTCACTTCCACACTGGTGCCGCTGCTCCTGGGACCGTCTTGATCTCTATAGATGGATCTCCTCGACAACCTCCGTGACTCACTAGCAGCCTGCCTCTCGGCCCTGTCCTCGAACTCTCTCTTCGTCAGTACCTCGACGTAGCGGCTCAAACTCAAGTGCGGATCACAGCCAGCTCCATTCGGCACTGTCGACAGTGATCGTAAGATCCTTCTCATGGACAGATGCTCGCTCGTCACTGCCACTCTGTGCTAAGATCCATCAGCTCCGCCTCGCGGGATCTTCCAGACATCGAAAACTACGCGTCACTCCTAAGATCTTGCAAGAACTTAGCCAGAGGCAAGCAACTCCACGCTCACTTAGGAACTTTCGAGGCCGATACCAGCACTTACCTTGGAAATCTCCTCGTCAACATGTATGGTAGCTGTGGCAGCGTCTCCGATGCCCAAGCAGCGTTTGATCGGATCGAGGAGACGAACGTTTACTCATGGAACATTTTAGTAGCGGCGTATGCCCAGGCTGGGCATATGGCCGAGGCAAGGCAAATCTTCGAAGCAGCGCCGGCCAGGAACGTAGTAACTTGGAACACGGTCATGACAGGGTATGCTCAACAGGGATATAGCGACGTGACAGTGGAACTCTTTGAGAGGTTCCTGGATAGTGGTATCAGGCCGACTGGGGTGACGTTCCTGGCAGCTTTGGAAGCTTGCTCGGCTCCCGGGTTGCTGGAGACAGGGAGGAGAATTCACGACAAGATCGCGAGGCTTGGGCTTGCGGCAGAAGTGAAGATCCAGACAGCGCTGGTAAACATGTACGCTAAGTGTGGGAGTTTGGAGCTTGCCGTGGAGGTTTATCGCGAGATCCCAGACGAAGCCAAGGTCGTGGAAGTGAGAAACGCGATGCTGAGCGGGTATGCCCAGAACGGCCATGTCGACGAAGCAAGAAGAGTTTTCGACGAGATGGAGGAGAGAAGCTTGGTGTCGTGGAATGCCATGGTGGCCGGCTATGCCCAGAACGGGCATTCCGCGGAGGCTCTCCGGTTCTTCCACGCCATGCTCCTCGACGGTGGCGTGAAGCCGAGCTCCGTCACCATCGCCAGCGTCTTGGAAGCGTGCACGACAGCAAGCCGAGCCCGACGCCTACACTCACTCATCTCCGAATCCAGCAACCTCTTGGACGACTTACGAGTGGTCACAGCTCTCACCAACGCGTATGGTCGGTGTGGACTCCCCGGCGAGGCCCAGGAGCTCTTCAACGGATCGAGCAGCAGGGACGTGGTGCTGTGGACGACCATGATCACGGCGTATGCCCAAAACGGGTATATCACCCAGGCAAGAGAGCTCTTCGAGGAAGCACCGAGCAAGAACGTTGTTTCCTGGACGACGATGATCACCGGCTATGCCCAAGCGGGCTATCCCCGAGAGGCGCTCCAAATGCTGCGAAGGATGGATGTGGAAGGCGTCCAGCCCAACCGAGTGACGCTCGTCTGCGTGATCGAGGCTTGTTCCGACGTTGCGGCTCTGGCTGAGGGAAAGATGGTCTACTCCGAGATCGCCGGCTATGGCGATAGGATGGATACCGTGGTTGCGAACGCGCTGCTCAATCTCCACGGCAAGTGTGGCTGCGTCGCGGAGGCCTGGGAAGTCTTCGCAAATCTCCGGGAGCGCAGCACCACGTCGTGGACCGCGATGATCACGACGTATGCGCAGAACGGGCATCCCTTGCGAGCGCTGGAGTTGCTCAAGCAGATGGTGGTGGAGGGGTTCGCTCCAAACGAGATCACTTACGTGAGCGTGCTCTCGGCGTGCGGCCACGTCGGGGATTTGCGGCGGGCGTGCGAGAACTTCGCGATCATGGTCGGCGATTTTGGAGTGGAGCCGGCGCACTACCACTACATGTGTGTGATGGATGCGCTGGGACGAGCCGGGCAGCTTTGCCGCGCGGAGGAGCTCCTCCACAGCATGCCGTTTGAGCCGGACGATATTGCGTGCTCCAGCATCCTGGGCGCTTGTGGGGTTCACAGCGATCGGAGCACGGCTGCCAGGATCGCAGGGATCGCGGGTCAGGATGATGATTTTGCTGCCTCCTCTGTGCCTTATGTTCTTCTCTCGAATCTCTTCGGCTGTGATGAGCGTGTTGGATCTGCAATGAGAGCTGCACCAGTGTGATCTGACGCGCTTGCTTTTGCGGACCCGTGGTTGGATTTTGGCCTCGGTTTGAACAGCCTCGCCGGTGGCGGCGGCGAGGCTGCTTCAGTGAGGCCAAGGAACCCTAAAATGCAGTCGTTTTTTTACTTTTAAAAACCTAAATTAGGGCACCACATTCTCCCGCCAGGCAGCTATAGTGTTCTTTCCAGGAAGAATTGAGTCCCAAAGCGTGGATCCATCGGGCTTGATCCCTATTGAGCGCGTCTACCAATCCCGCGAGGGCGAAGGATTCGATCACGGGGTTCCACGCAGCTTAACCGAACAATTGTACCATCTGCTTTGAAGTAGTTCTTGTGCTGCACGTAAGTGTGTAAGTTGACTGACAAGGATCATAATAGAAGGAACATACCCTCCATTCAATTGCTGGGAAGCTAATCTTGCCTTCGACGGTATTGTAGTACACCAAGCAATTCACCTCTACCCCGGCCCTGCAATCTGCTGACAAACAAAATCACTCCAAATGCCTCAACAAGCTTGTTTACCTTTGGCGATGGATTCCGGCACTCCTTCCAAGAAGGGCCCAAAGTCTCCCTTGGTGATGGGAAACTTGTATGGCAGCTTCAGTCTCTTGGACCTCCTCTTGTCATTCCTGAGCTTCCCAAATCCCACCACCACGCCCGTCAAGCTACCCCTGGGAGTCATCACTGGCGCTCCACACTCGATCCTGGCCCCGTCGCATGGCAGCATGATATGACGGTAAGGAGGGAATTGACAGCTCGTCTCGTACTCCAAGAGATCGTCAAATCGTCCGCCATCGCCTCCCACCGATGTTCCGGCCACGAGCAGCGGCTTCTTGTTCCCGTCATGGTCCCACGACGCCGACACCACCGTCACCCACGGCCCTGGCACCGGCGCCACCACCGCGCAGGCCGAGAAGCTCTGGGAGCATCCTTGCGCGGGAGTTAAAACTCCCACTCCGCCCGCCACCTCTGCTACGCACTCGTATCGCCTCCCGTCCACGCACACAACGTAGCGCTTGCCATCGGATTCCTCCTCCGCCTTCTTCTTCATGCAAGCGTAGCTCGTGACGCAAGTTCCATCCGGCCTCACCAGCGTCACCATTCCACACCTGTTTGTGGCGTCGAGCTCCTCGTCATCCTGGCGACCCACGCGATAGAACCAGCCAATGAACTTGCTCGCCTCGGCCTCGAGCACCCGGATATCGTCGGCTGCTTCCCTTACCCGGTTGTGGTAAGCGTGGATAGCTCCCTCGGCCTTGAAGAACACCTGGCGGAACTCTTCGTCCAGCTGCCGCGATGCCTCGAGCCGCTTGCGGCTCATCTCTGCCCAATTTGGTATTTGTATTTCTTCTTCTTCTTGAGCGATGATGATCGTCCCAGTGATGGGCATGGCTGCGTCTTTGGAGCTGCCATCGCCCAGGCCACTCCTGACTGCCGTCTGCCGGATGGATTCCACGTCGAAGATGGAGGTTCCAGTTGCATCCGCGAGCAGCACATCGTCGCCAATACACAGAGTCGCGGGATCCAGCTTCCAAAACGCAGCGATAGCCCTTACCGGCAGCTTGGTTCCATCGCCCACGAGGCCAAAACGTCTCGCCTCCTGCTCGCCATGCTTCAACCACAGGCCCATTCTAATACCCTAGGCTAACCTTTCTATGCTAGAAAATTCCAGGTTGTTTAGATCTCTGTCACCTTTCAATGCTCTTCCTTCCACGTCCAGGGAATCTCTCCTCGGATTGGAGATCCGCCATCTGGCGCTCCAAAGAACAGTCGCTCGGCCGCGCCCAAATATCCACCCTGAATGCTGGCACATCAGAAACTAGTTCGCTCCAGGGCCGAGGGCGTTGCGCGTCGATGGCGGTGGAGGCTAGAAAGAAGGAAGAATCACGCGATCAAGGATGGATAGGGAGAATCTCGAAAACGAGCCGGACGAGTCATTCGCTTGACGATTTAAACGGTACCTTCCCATGGATGATATTGTCATGCCATTTGCCATCTCCACCAATGGAAAGAAACTGACCAGCATACATTTGTTGTGATCTTTGTCTTGGATAAACTCGGACGCCAATTGCTAGTTGATAGCAAGCCATTGAGCACTACTACAGCCATGGCTAGATGTTTTTGAGCATAGAGGTATAACAAGTGCTCTAGCAGGGTTGTGGTGGATTTCAACTTGAAGCATATTAAGGCTGCTAAGAAATTTAAAATATTTAATGAGATTCCTAAGCAACTAAAAGGAATAACTTTAGAAATGATGCATAAAGTCTAATATAGAGGGAAATGACCCACAAATAAATGGTTAAAAGTATTGGGATATTTAAAGTTAAATATCATTGGGTTTAAATATATATTGGGAAGTTTAAATTTAGAAGTTTACATTTGGTATCAGAATGATTTTAGATCCAACTCTATTAGTTAATTAAGAGAATTACACCACATATTAATATTAACATTTGGTAAGTCTAGTTTGATTCAATTAGGCTTAACCCAAGGGTGTCGAGAGAGTGGGCTCTCGGGAGAGTTGTAACTCTCAATTTCTATTCACAAGGGTGTAAACTTCATAGAAGCATAATGGATTGTAAACAATAAAAAAAAACCACTTAAGAAATGATTCATGGGGTTCAAATATAAAAAGAAAGGGCCATAAATAAAAATGCACCTATTGATTAAAAATTTCTTAAAAGTTAAGTCCTTATGTTTGAATAATAAATGACATCCCAGAAAATTTAAATTCAGAAATTTACACCAATGTGAGCAATGGATTAAATGGCCACATCCCTAGATCTTGGCTTAGAAGGTTTATCTTTCTATTTAGCTTACTTATGATGGACTAGCTTTTTATGTAACAAATGTTCATTCTATAGGGATTTCTTTTGCTAAGCTTGAGGAGAATAATGTACTTAATGATAGAGGTACCTCTATAGTTCCAACTAGATGTTTGAAATTTTCACTCTCTCACTTCTAAAACTAATGATGGAGCTAAGAATACAAGTGAAGAGATGCATTGTGCTTGGGTATTAAGTGATTTTCAATAGGTTGGGCAAATAATTTCCATTGTGGAGTTTTAGGTTCTCTTTCTAGAAGAAAAAAAAAGAATAATGTAAAGCTATAAAAGCAGTTAAGAATCTTCTCTTAATCATCATATGGGGAGTGGTATAGCAATTGCAGGGCATGTTCTTGAGCTTTGCCAATCACCAAAATTTTCTTTATAGTACGCGCGAAGAAGATCTGGAACGGAAGCTGTTTACAGAGCTAAGACCGCCAAAGAACGACGCTGCATGACTCCAGTTTGTCGTAGATCCTCTGGGCTCCCACAGTTGGAGTACGCATGCTGGCCACGAACAGGCTGGTGTCAAGTCCTCTTCTCGCCGCCGAGGCATGAACAGCCATGCCTTTCTCCAAAGAAAAAGCTTTGACGAGCCTGTCATCCAGTGGAGCAGCCACTTCTTTCTACTGCAAGCCTTGAGAACTGCCACAAATGATCCGGTTGGAGCCGAGTCGAGAGAAATCGAGAGAAAACCTCAAAGGCCACTTCTTCGAGGTTCGTTGCATATCCCAGCGCTAGAGCGTTCCAGGAGACCGTGTTTGGAGCCATGATCTTCTCAAAAGCTCTGCAAACATCTTAGTGTACATATCCACCAACGTGTTTCTGACAAAAACGTCACTAGATCGATACTGGGAAGAAATTATTGGAATCCTCTTGCGGAAGCTCGCTTACCTGATTTCGAGAGAAATCTGGCGGCTGGATCTTTGCGGGGGCAAATGCTAGAAAGCTCTGCATTGCTCGAAGAACCCTAAACAATTTTAGCGATGCCATTGCCCAAGAGCAAGAAGAGAAGGAGCTCTTTGTATTCCGCATGTGTTTCAGGAATCGACATATTCGTGTTGCTGAAAATCTATCACAAGAATTTTTCCTTTTAAAGGCTCTAAACTCAAGAGAAACGTCTCTCAGAGAACTCAGTAGTTTCATCGTCAAACAAAGTCGTTTGGCCCTGTAGAAGACAATGACAATTGTAAGAAACCTCACATGATCAGTCGGCTTATCAAGAAAGACTCAAACCTGAATGGTTCCATGGCGATCCAACACCCGAGGCCACCACACAACCTACTTCGTTCATTTGCCACCATTCGGTTCTGCTGCTATCGGGCGCAGCAAACCTAAGGCTTCCAACCGCTTCTACGAGTGATCAGGAGATACCGCGAGTGCATGGGCGTAGTCCGGATCAAACGAGCCTCGGCAGCCTGGTCGAGCTCGAGAAATCCGGCAAGCACAGGCAAACAAACACGAAGCAAACAAGGTGAATACCGTTGCCTTATGACAGTGCCTTAACACTGGCGTTCTAAGGATGGGGATCGTGTTGGAGGCGTGTAGAACACATTGCTATGGCCATTGTTGCCAACTAAGATCTATTGACTATGAGAATGTTATGATTCAGTGTGAAAAGATAAAAATTTAGTCTCCCTAGACTATATTACTTCTTCAAAAGAACCTCAGAGAGTTGCTATAGCCAAGCAGCAAGTGAAAAGTTAAGATGCCCTACCTACAAACAAGTGTTGGCTTGTGAAATCAATTATTAGATTTTCAGCAGTGCTACCTTTTCTAAATTATATTTAATGAAGTCTAAATTCTTTTTTAATAAAGATGGGCTATAGTTCTGGCAAAGTTGTTATTTTTTTATATCAATGACATTTACCATATATGGAATTAAACTATAATTTTTTTTAAAAAAACTATCTCATATACTATATAGATAACAAATACTATATCATAATTGAAATAAATAATAAAAAACTATATTCCAGAAAATAAAATATAATAAAAATCAATATACTTCTAAAAATATATTAATATAAAGTTTGTTTATACTTGGGGTATCTTATGTATAATACTTTAGAAAATCATTGTTCAATCAAACTCTATCAGTACTTTATTGAAGAGATTGTAGTGTTTTTGAAAAGATACTATGAATTGTAGTTGATAAAAGTATTGCCTGTTTATGTAGTGGCAGAAATTTGACTGTTCTAGGAGGATTTTCCAATTGTAAATGTACTATGTTCACTAGTCACAAAGTTGTGAGTAGTGAATATTTAGCCATGCCAAAACCCCCTCAAACTTAAATAAGGAACATCTTTCCAAAAATCCTACAACATGTACCACCTGAAGACAACATTTCTAGTTAATGACAGAAGAATGGGATGAATTACCTTTCATTTTCATCCACAACAAGGTACTATTCTTGTTGTCCCAAGTGAAACTTGCCTCTGCAATTCTAGCTTGTTATATTTTGGAACTTGACCTAGCTCTTGACTCACAGAATTGAGTCATTAGAGGTAAAGTTTATAACCACTTGTATGATAGTGGCTTTTGAAGGAAATTGCTGCAGTGTCACAAGCAGTAGCTATGGGCCCTCCATATTGCACAAAAAGTAAGCTTATTAGACAAACCAAGAACAAACCAAATACTTATAATGGTAGAGAGTTGTTGCTAGTGAATATGTACCATCCTAGATATAAATAAATGTATGATAGTAGGTGGACAATTTGCTTACATGAAGCACCTAATAAGTAAACAAAATCCTAGACAAGACCAAACCTTGCATAAGAGTGGGAGTGGTGTTTCTTATCCAAATAAAGTACTAAATTGAAATGAGAAGAATGACATAGAAAAAGGAAGGATTGTTACAAATATATAAGGCTTAGAAAGATAAATGCTCCATGCTTGCATCATGTCCAAAACCTTTTCATTGTGTTTTTTGAATGTGAATGCATTGGATGAGATTTGGTAGGGTTTATTATTACATTACCCCCATTGAACAAAGCATATGTAGATGCTTTACTCAAACTAATAATTATTTGAATATAAGCAACAATAAATAAATAATTTGAGAGATAATAAAAGGAAAAAGCCTATGAATAAAAGTGCATTCCTTTGGTTAAATGTACTTGAATTTAAATAGTATTAGGTTGAATGACTATCTTTTTAAGAAGTTTAAATTTAGGAGTTTATATAAGAAATTCCAAATGTACCATTATACAGTGAACACTAACTTATGTCTAAATACACACACATATATATACATATATTGATAAATACTCTCCTCCAAAAATGCATAAAATGCAACATTAAAAATTGGCATCCATTGTTAGAATGGATTTAATGTCTGGATTCTTTACAGATGGACTACCGTGGACCACTATTGACCAGTGTTCCATTTACTATTGGACCAAAGTTACCTGAACCAGTATTTATGAACACGAGTAGACTGAGTTGACTAGCGTGGACTGGTATGACTGTAAATTCTCTAGCCCTGGCATGGCATGGGCCTCCACTCGGCTAGCTTTGTACGTCGTCCACCCAGCGCGTGCCATGTGTCTGCGCTCGGCTAGCGCCAGTTGTAATACAGGTGGAAATGTGTAATGACCTTTCAAGGCTTTCACTTGAGCGTGACTACTTACACAAGAGCCCTCCATCGAAGAATATATAAACGAAAGAGGGCCTATGTAAGATGCCGTCATTGAGCTTCTCCCTTTCCTATTTATCTAGCTAGCGATTGAAAATAGATCCATCGATATTTGAGATAGCTAGTTGGATCGATCGATCGATCGGGATAGAGATAGAAAGATCGGCATTGCGAGCTGCGAATCAAGATTATGGCGCTGGCAATGCTCATCCTCTACGCTCTTCTCCTCTCTCAAGCAGCGGCAAGATCGCTGCTCTCCTCATCCCCCTCTTCTCTATCCAATGCAGCTCCATTGGATCTTCCAGCGGCGCGATACAAGCCCTTCCGCCCCTACTGGAAGGACAAGGAAGCGATAATCTCCAAGATCCAAGGCGGCGGCGGCGGCATATTTGGGGCTTCCAAGGCGTTCGAGGGCTCCTCCGAGTACGTCAAGATGCGCTACCATATGGGGCCAGTGCTCTCCCAGCAAATGCACATCTACATCGTCTGGTATGGCCGCTGGAAATCCTCGGACAAATCCATCATCCGCGACTTCCTGGCCTCGGTCTCATCCCCGCAATCCGCCGCGGTGCCGCAGCCATCCGTCCAGCGCTGGTGGAGCACCGTCCGCCTCTACACGGATCAAACGCTCCAGAACATCACCAGCCAGCTGGTGGTGGCGGGCGAGCACAACGTCGACTACTCCCACGGCCACAGCCTCACGCGGCTCACCATGCAGGAGGTCCTCAAGGGTGCGCTGGCCGAGAACAACGGTACGCTGCCCGTCAACCCGCGCCGCGGAATATACCTCATCCTTACCGCCGGCGACGTCGTGGTCCAGGACTTCTGCCGCGCGGTATGCGGCTTCCACTACTTCTCCTTCCCGTCCATCGTCGGCTACACGCTTCCGTACGCGTGGGTGGGCCACTCCGAGAAGCAGTGCCCCGAGGTGTGCGCCTACCCGTTCGCGGTGCCGTCCTACATGACGCACACCACGCCCATGAGGCCGCCCAACGCCAGCCCCGCGGTGGACGGCATGGTGAGCGTGGTCGCGCACGAGCTGGCGGAGATCTCATCCAACCCGTTGATCAACGCGTGGTACGCCGGGGAGGATCCGACGGCGCCCACCGAGATCGCGGACCTGTGCGAGGGCATGTACGGAACCGGTGCCGGCGGCGGCTACGCGGGTGCCGTGCTGACCGACGCCCGGAGCGGCGTGAATTATAACATGCATGGGGTGAATGGGCGGAGGTTCCTGGTGCAGTGGATCTGGGATCCGGTTCTCAGCGCTTGCCACGGCCCAAACGCCTCGGATTGATGATGAATCCCGCGAGAAAGTTTTGGATCACTGTTGGATGGATTGGATCCATTCGCTACTACTACTACACTTGCTCGTGATAGCAAGGACTATGGATTTGGAGCAAGAGACGAGGCAGGGGGGCTCAAAACAAGAGCTTTTTGTTTTGATTCCATCCATCCGCGCTTGTATATATGTTACACCTTTCCTACTTTTTTGTTTTTTTGAATTGAAAAACCGCGGGATTTTTTAAAATTTTGTCAACAAGCTATCTTTCGTACCATTTTATATGAATTGTCTTCTTAATTATGTCTTAATTCATGTTAGATGTGTATAAATTAAACAATCACCAACACTGATGGAATCATTTGGCCTGAGAAAGAAAAATAAAGAATAGACGATCTAGTTATAAGAAACACGAACCTGTAGACTTGGGAAAGATCTTGGAGTGTCACGAGTCCACCAAAAGAAAATGGTTGGTGTCCTATATGTGAGTGGGGCACGATGGCTGAAATGGACGTCAACTTACTCAATCTCTTGTCTTCCTCAATGTCTCGATTCTCAAAACTACGTGCTGTACGAAGAAAATGTTCATAGAAACCAATGACTAGAAAGCAGCGTTGTACCTTTATCTGGACTCGATTATAAGTGTATGTGACGTGAACGAGACCGGTGAAAGACTGGATCACTGCGGCGTACGAGAATTCGCCGCCTTCCTGCTCTTCCAGAGTAATCTCCTCTGTCCAAGTGTCTCCGTCGTCGCCAGAGACCCCCACCTTGAGTATACCACGAGAGTCGGTGTTGTAAACAAGCAGAAGCGTGCCATCGCGCAGCTTAACGCCATCGAATCCTGCGTTGATTTTGTGAGACTGGCGTGAAGAAACAAACGTACGAGTTTACCGCAGTTTGGATTTGGGAGCTGAGTCGGAGTAGCGTAGGTCCACGAGCGTCCTCCATCGGACGATGAGGCCATGCATATTTTCCCAATCTCCTGTGTTGCTCTTAGAAGCACTCGGATTGTGCCATTGTCTGTGAGATATGGAACAGGTTGAATGACACCCATTGGAGTATGTTGGACGTAAATCGGACCATGCTTTCTCCACGTATAGCCTGAATCTTCGGTAACCTGCAGTACTGTGTTTGCAATCGCAAAGACAGAACAAGCAGAAGAAAGTGCTTACCTCCATCCACGCACCCCATGCATCCCAGCTTTCAACAGACGATCCACAAAGAAGTCTTCCATCTCTCAGGAGTAAAGGCTGTAAACGAAGAAGAAAAGCAAACCATGTTGAAGATTGAAAACACAGAGATCCTGTTTTACCTTGTTCTTTATAGGACCAAGAATTCCAGGAGGAAGAGCTTGCCTCGCAGACCAGGTTACTCCGTTGTCAAATGATCTCTTCATAAACCCGCTCCATCTGCAAAACACCACGAACGGAAATCAGCTAAAGCGGTTCAAAGAGATGATGCGTACTTCTGAACTTCTGGACCAATTTTGTAAAACAGCAACACTTCGCCTTTGGGCATTTTAAACAGAACGGGATTCCACATGGGGACACCCAACTCGGAATCAGCTACTTGAGGATCAGACCAGACACCATGCTGAAATACCAAAGAAAAAAATGTATACATCATGAACAAGGAGAAACAAAACTATACCTTGAAGCGCTGTGTCCAGATCACGACATCACTGTCGCCTTCATACGTTCCTCCAAAGTATGCCACCATAAAATGCTCGGGCTCAAGCTGTGAAGTTCCCTCATTTAATTCCGAGAATGGACGTATAACTTACCTCGACAATCGTCGATGCATGGCAGCTGTTGAACGGTGCAAGACCTTTCTCGAATAAAAACTCCTCCTTGACAATGCCGATTCTCCCAGACAGCAATCTACTCATTTTCGTGCTGGATCAAAAAAAAGAAAAAGAAAACTTCCAGGAACCATAGAAAAGAGCTAAAGAAATCGTACTTCTCACTGCGAAGCCACAGCTTTAGATCTTCCGCCGAGGAGAGGGCACGCTCCAAGCTCGGCACAAAATGCGTGGAATGCGCGAAATTGATGTACAAGACCACAATCCCGGCCAGCGCTGCCGACGCTAGAAGAGAAGAACACCCGGAGTTAGACTATCCTGGAATTATCAGAGGGAAATACCGGCGGCTCGATGATCTACGCAGCGCCTCGCCCTGACGATCGCTCCCATCTTCCAGGTAACAAATCGGATGTAGAACTGCGAGACAGCGACATTCGGCGAGAGGAAAGAGGAGATAGAAATGGGACCGACCTGCCAGGACGCTCCGCCATCGCCATCAGCGCCAGAGCCTCCATCGCCAGAGAAACAAATATATCTCTTGGGCCTTTCCTTGTGAGAATCGACCCTGGAATCTCTTCCTCTGTGTTTTGATATTTGGTAGTATAAACCCTACTCCCTAGGGTTTGAGGATTTGTTTCTCAGGTGGGTGGGAGATTCTTTTTACGCTCTTTCAATTGAAGTGTTCGTCTCCCCGATAGCACGTATTTCTTGGAAAAAATTTCTACAATTCGTGATGCCAGTTTGCATCTGGCTAACGAAGGATGTCTCTTCTATCTGGAAGAAGAGCTCGATACCTAAAATATAGAAAGACTTATAGTCGAAAAACATTACAATGTCTGAAACAAACATCCGACACAGTGCTGCTCAGAAACGGTGCAAGAACTTTGGGATACGTACAAAATAAGATATATATTACCTTAGTGACACTCTCGGCTTTGCAATCTGCGGACAAAGAAAATCAATCCAAAAACAAGCAACCCCTGGGAGTCATCACTGGCGCTCCATTCTCGATCCTCGCCAAATCAAGGAGGAGGACGCCGATGGAGCTGCTGGAGATGCCGTTGCTGCCTCTGCGAAGACGAGGAAGAAGAAGAGAGTGATGATATCCGAAATTCGGAATAAAAGAAGAGACAGCTCGATTTTGTTTAGAGCGAATCTAAGAGCGTCTTTTTACGTGTGTCCAAAGAATGTAAAATCAATGTTGATATACACTATTCCTCCTTCCTCACTCATTGTACGCAAGAACAATGAAAACATCGCTAGTAGACCATTTCCTTGCAGCGTGTTTCTTGGCGGGATTGATGGAAGGACGATCGGCACAAGCTGCTTGATATCCGATCAATATCTCTTGCCGCTTTCTCGCGCGCATCATCAGCTCAAAGAAGCTCAGCACTTCCTGGTCGTATAAGTAGAGCTCGCCCGACCGAATGTAGATCTCATTCCCCTGTCAGTAAAACTTGTGTATCAATTTGAAAGCTTGCGAGCCATGGGCTTACTTCTTCAGCGAATAGCTCCTCCAGAACGCGGTTGATTTGCTTGTCTTCCGCTACCATTGCCAGAGCCATGCTCACGAGCTCGTTGGAGAGGACGCAGTCGGTGATCTTGGACACCGAGACCAGGTGTTTTGTTCTCGAGTCGAGGATCTCGCTGATGATTATTGACTGGTTTGATGCCTGCTGCATTTCTCGTATCCAGGAGGTTTGCAAGGATCCAGCCTGCCGGACTTGGACAGCTCTTAGATCTCGGTATGGTAATCGCTTTGACTGGAGAATGACACGAGATTAAGTTGGCGTCCGGGGGGTTAAAAACTCGACGTACCTGGATGTCACGTATCAGTAGTAGAGTAGCTAAAGAGCGCGAGTCTGCGTGGATTACCGAATCTTCAAGCTCCTCATCTGCCAGAATCAATATCTACAAGAAGGAAAGAAAGTTATGGATTTTTATTACATGAAACGAAACTTTACCGAGTCAAATGTTTCCAGCGGCAAGCTTTCGAGGTGTCTTCGGATAACAGGGTTTCCCTCACGATGCACCAGATGGACGTTCTCAAGCCGCTTGGGATCAAGGCCACCGTCGATAAGCTTCTTTTCTCTTTCATGCTCTGGCACGCCGCTGAACATCCATAGCTCCGATCCTTGTGCAAGAGAAGCCTCTAAAACCTGAAAGCTGGGATAAGTTCCACACGGCAAAGAAAAACTGAGAAGAGGACCTACAACAATCATGTCATCTATATCTCGCCGCCAACCACAAAACAACATTTTCTCGGGATATTTTCGAGGAATTACAATCTTCGGTAGTGCAGCTTTCTTCACCTGGCCAAAACAAGCCAAGTAAGTTGCAGTGAGACAGTGAAACAACAGTACCTTCGGTAGCGAACTTGGAAAGTAACTGTCGTCATCTTCTGCAATCACTAGAATTTCATCATCCTCGCATATGATGTAGTCATCATCTGGATTCAAGGCAATTTTGCCTGCGTTAGCTGCTACCTTAACCCCGCAAGGTATCGCATCAGGGAATGACACAAGAACGTCTTCAAATGTCATCCCAACAAGCTGTGGCCATCGTTTAAGATAGAATTCCGCGTTATCAAATCCAAGTATATCCTCCCATATCTGGAAGAAGGGCTGTTAACAGAGATTACGTAGAGAAACAAGAAAAAACCTGTGCAAGCCCCGGTTGACGAGCGCATTGAATCATAAGTCGACCAATAACATCATGTGCCACGACCGTTTCTACCAGATCACCTCCAACAAGTTTCACCAGTGGTTCGTTATCTATGTCACTGAGTTCGACCACGACGTGACCTTTCAATCCTTCTTTCACTGCTGTCAAACTTAAAACCACTCTCAAGGCCCGAGCATCGCTCTGTAAGTAGGAAAACTCAGTAAGTTACAAAACGATCAGAGCATGGAAAGTAGGAAAAACCTGATCAGCGTTCCCAGGTTCTGCAAGTACTATAATGGCACGAGCCTTAGACACTGAAACCTGAAAGTCGTTTTAAGAAAAAAATTAAAAAATTCGTGAAGACATTTCCGCGTACCTTCTTAAGGTCGGCCATGATGAGAGGACTTCCACTTCTACAGATGACATAAGTTCCGAGAAAATCAAATTCCATCTTCCCAATGTCAGCCTCCATTTCCTCCTTATCTCTTTCAGAAAGAATGACGATCACCCCACCACCTAGACTTTGGTTGGCAATTGCAAGCTGGTTTAGCAGCGAGTTCTACAACAGCCACTGCGGTTTGAAGCCTTAATGCTAACAAAATAGAGATAACTTACAAGTTTGTCGCTCCATCCAAGGATCAAAGTGTGGTTGCTCTCAATGACGTCGCTCTTTCCCTTTCGAAGCGAGTCTACTTTCTCTGAAATGGCATCCGAAATAAGACCGAGCATGAGAGCAAAAATAAGCAGCCCGCCAAGGCTGATACAAACTGATACGATTCTGGAACCCAAGCCGACGCTGTCAGCGTGGTTGCCAGAATCCGCTACATAACTCCAAGTTCGCCATAGCGCATCTTCAAAAGTATCGTCAGTAACAGAATATAATGCATTCCCACCGAAAGCTATTAGAAGCATTGTTGCGAGAAGTAGAGCAATCGGCTTTGCAATTGCGTTCGAAAATATCAAGTCCACGAGATACGCTAACCTCTTGCTCGGAGGGACTTCTTCGTCTGTGATGTTTCTCGTTAGCTTGCTGTGTATGTCATCCATAACTCTCAGAATTAGAAAAGGCATAGCAAGAAAGAAGACAGTCACAAAAAGTGCAAGCCTCCTAGCCGGTTTCTGGTCAAGATTTGTTTCCAGAGTGCTCATTCTCGTTGTGCATGTCTCGATTTGTGCTTGGAGTTTGACAAGAGATTCCTGCCATAGGATAGCAAATGTTAAAATAAAATCGTGATAGAATACCAAACAAAGAACTCTTTTTACCTTGACGTTTTGTCGCTCTGCTCGCAAAACCAGGGTGTACACAATCAGCGCGAAGTAGGACAGTATAAGCTGGAAACAAACGAATGGATGCAAAGGATAGAAACATTGTTTAGAGCTTTACCAAAAGAGAGAGCGACGCATAGATGAAAAGTCTCACGAACTGTGTAGCGTTCCAGTTAGAAACTCCATCCGCGACTCGAGAGACATGACCTTTAGATGACGATGGAGTACCATGAGACTCCTCCAAAGAATTCATCGGCTTTGATTTTTTCACCCGGAGGTTATCCCGATCATCCCTCGCTTTTGATCCAGGCTCCGCCTCCTCCTTATCCACAATGATCCAGCTATCATCTGGCCTGGAATCCTCACTCCTGAATTTCTCGACAGCCAAGCGCCGAGACTCACTAGCGCTCTTCAATCGCCTGACGATCGGCGGCGGCCCTGAGAAAACAGGGCTCGTGGCATCCTTGAGATTGGATGGAATCGAGGACGATCTTCTCAGAGATCGCCCACCTGAGAAGCAAATGCACCGAGATTATAGAAACAGAGGACAGAAATATATGCTCAAACCTTGCTCCTGGCAGCTGCCGCCTCGCATCGTGCGCGCATGCTCATCGAACCCTAGGGTGTAGGGTTCATACTACTATTCCCGCCAAATATTAAAATGGGGCTTAATCAAGATTTCGTTAGAGGGATGGTTTTGACCCAGTCAGTTATCTAGTGCTGCTAGCACAACTGCCTTGCATTGTTGGAGGAAAAATTCTTTTTTTGTGTGCTCGTAGCAGAGGATAGAATTTAGGAAGACAATGGGGCATAGGAGGAAACAAGGAGAGGAGAGTTCTAGTGATGCGCCGTTTCACCAGAAATGCGGCTCCGTCGTTGCTGGGACCAGGAACTCCACGGATTAGAGAGCATCTGGAAGATGGGAGCTATGGTCAGGGCGAGATCATCAAGCTGCCGGTATTTCCCTCTGATAATTCTTAAGTAATTTCGCTCATCGCATTTTGTGTGTGAGCCCTCTCCTGGGCCAAAGATCTAAAGCTATAGCTTCGCAGTGAAGCTTAAGCCCAAACATGGTGGCATATGTATGAAGGCGACTTGTTCCTAAATGATGGATATACTTGTCTGGTCTCTTCGGAGTGGTATGTGGAATCCTGTTCTGTTTAAAATGCCCAAGCGATTACCATATTGCGAGAAATGCAGCGGGCATCAATCCATTTTCTCAACGGCGGCTGTGCAAGGCTATGGCATGGTTTCCTTGGCCAACACTAGCAGCAATCCAGTTAAGAACAACAAGAACAACAAAGTCGCCCTCTTTAATAGCGCATCAAACAACTTCCCTTCAGCAGCAAACGTTTAGCGGCAACAAGAAGACAATCTTTTAGGAAATTTCTTTCAAATCTCGCCACCTAAAGACCACAAGGTCACGGTCTTGTGCCTGGAAGGAGCTGGCTCTTCGACTTGGGCTCCTCAGTGGATCTCTTCCTCTGAGGGCTTCCCTCCTCAAGTATGTGCTCGGGACAAGGTCACGGCTATGGCGGAAGGGTGGCAGCTCGTCGTACGATAAATGGCGACGATCCAGACGATCTGCAATTGAATTTGTAAACATGAAAGTTAAAGCTTTGTATTTCGAAATAAAACAATTCAAAAAACTTTGCTATCAGAGGGAGGTTTCGATCCTCCGACCTGTGGGTTATGGGCCCACCACGCTTCCGCTGCGCCACTCTGATTTGTAATAATCAGGCTCTGGCTTTTATATTTAAAAGGTTTACCTACAACCAAAATAAATTATGTTAAGAAAGCTAGAGTAGCATTAGGGCTCTTGGCTATGGCGTCGCCAGCAGCAGCAGCAGCGGCAACAGGGCCGGCGGCCACGGCCTACTGGCGCGTCGCGGGCATGACCTACATGTCCTACGCAAACGCCTGCGCCACGCACCTCCGCAAGTGCCTCAAGGAGCCCTACAAGACCCAGACTGCCGCCAGGGAGCAAGTCCACTACAAGATCACCAAGTGGGTCGACGGCGTCGCCCAAAAGCCAGGTAAATCCCTCCCTCTCGCCACAGAAAGAAGAATGTAGCTTCTCATACCACTGGCATTTCCACAGAGTTTCGGGGAACCGGAGGATTCGAGTGAGAGTGGTCGATCCACCACCAAATAATTGGAAACGCTTGTTAAGTCTCCCTCTCTTTTGTTTCTTCTGGCTTGGTGATTCCTCCAGCAATAACCTGTAGAGGATTCAACACGATAATTTTCGCTGAAATTCGAGAAAGCTCTCATAGTTTTGGCCCGAATATCTTGTGTCCCATCTTTCTTTATTCTATCTAGCGGAACACCATGTCCACCCCGAGATTACTGGACGTCGTTGGCAAGGATTGCTGCATCGTCCTGAGAAGCCAAGAAGCTTGAAACCAGATGATCAGGCAGATTGAACGACAACGCGAGAATGCCGAGCTCCAACTTCTCGAGCACGGAGCCTCTCCCTGCAAAAACCATCCACGATCACAACTTCTAACCAAAAGCGTCCTTCCTACCTGCGAGAAACTGTATCCCCTCGGTGAGCTCCGAGCGAGAATCCGCCGCGACAGTGAAGCTGACGAACTCCAAGCACTCGTGAGTGGCAGCGATCTGGGAAGCCGGGAAAAACTGCGGTACGTGGAAGATGGTGCCTACATTGAGCTTGGCATCGACGCCATTCGTGCCGTTGGGAAGAGCGACTTGGAGGCTTCCAGTGCCATTTGTCACCACTCCAAACTCAGCTCCTTGCTTATTCCAGTGCGGAGCCAAAAAGCTACCCTGCCAGAGATGTGTTAGAGAACCAAGCAAGTTTTATGAGACTTTGAACTTACCGCTTGCAACTTGACGATGGAAACTCCAATCCGGCCTGATGCCAGTGCTTGCACGTCTTCGCCGAGAGTGGAGGCAATCCAGCCGTGTTGGTTCTCGAATGCTCGCTTCTCAAAGAGGTTGAAGATCTTGTCTTTGCGCTTCTCCTTGTCCTCGTCCTCCTTGTGCTTCTTGTCATCGTCCTTGTGTTTCTTGTCGTCCTCATCCTTCTTGTGCTTCTTGTCGTCCTTGTGTTTCTTGTCCTCGTCCTTCTTGTGCTTCTTGTTGGAAACCACGCTTTCCAGATAGTTCTCTTGGCCTTTTAATCGTGCAAACATCCCAACGCTCGTGGGGATGATTGGTCCTCCATCCTGGGAGCCAAACACGTTCTTGATCTCCTCCTCCGATACCTGCACAGACAAGCCGATGAGAGCAGATCCCCGTACAAAACGAAGTACCTTGAAAGCTGCTGCTAGAAGGCCCGAACGGAAACCAGCCAATGCAAGTTTAGGATGGAGTCCACCGCCGACGAAGAACGACTTCAAATCATCAAAACAAATATATGACTTAGTCTTGTGACAAGCAACCAAAGATTACGCTCTTACCTGAAGTTTACCACTGCGTGACCCCCTGGAGGTGTCGAAGATACCGATCAGCTCGAGCTTCTCATCTTCGTTCGCATTGAGCACGTAAAAAACAGCTCCAGCAGGAACAGTATAAACGTCCCCTCGTTTCAAATCCTTCTTGACAGTCGACTCCCCACGAATCGATCCAATCATAGCATCGCCTGATCAGTTTGTGACATCACGATCCAGCGAACTTAAAGAGAACCATTTTTTAGTACCTTTCTGGACATAGAAAACAAGGCTTGCGTCCATGTAATGTGGTAGCAGCAACGCCCGAGGTTCCATGGTGATGAAGCCGAGAGCTACATCACGCTCCTTGAGTGACAGGTCCTCGTGAGAGCCCATCAAAGCTCGGATCTCTCCAGCATCACTCTTGACATATTCAACAGGCTCACCGAGGATGAAGTCCTCATACTCAAATTCGCAGGCCGATGCGGCTACAAGGACCGCAAGTGCAAGTAGCAAGAGCTTAATCATCCTGCAGGGACTAGAGGAATTTAGAACCAAAAGAAAAATCCTAAACCGACTTGCCCGTTCTCGATGAGGTGCTTACTGACCATTATAAAACGAAGATTTCGTCTGCATGCGTGACACCTGTTTTGCTAAATAAAAGACTGAAAAATGCAAAGTTTAATCGTATTCATGAAATGCTGGATGGAAACACCTGTATTTGGAATGCCATCATCCCAGCGTATACAGCTATCTCTGGTTACAAATAACCCTCTCCAGTAGGATCAGAGCTACTTACTTAAGCAAGTCCCTGCAAATTTCAATCAGCAACTGGCAATGGTGGTTCATAGCAAGTACCTTCTATAGTACAAGAATTCTCCCGCAACGACGTGGAGCTAAATAAGCAAAGTATCAGTCCAGCTCGCAAGATATAAACAACCTTTCGTACCTCAAGGAAACTGGAAGCTACCACCGATACCCATGCCTTTGTCCGGTGTCAAAGAGGAAGAAGAGAGGGAGACCCACAGCAGAGATATGACGATGGCCAAAAGTCCAGACCAGACGAAGATAATAGTCGGGGTGCGCCTCCTCCTCCCCATGAGGCCCTTCGAGAACGGGTAGAGGTGGAACAGCACCCAAACACTGAAGAAAACTCCCCCGAGAAGCTTGCTCCACTGAGGAACAGGACTGTAGACCGTCCTCGAGACAGCCACCGCGATCGCGATCAAGTTCACCATCATGATAGTCAGGGGTGGTATCATCAGAGCGCTCCACTTGACCATGTACAACTCGGCAAACTCGTCGTCCTCGTCACCAGAATTCTTCGACGTCAGAGTGAAGGAGATATCTATCCCGGCGATGACCTTCAAGAGTCCCTGGAACACAGCCACCAGATGAGCGCTGGTTCCACCAATCACCCAAAACTGCTCGTTCCGCCACCATTCGTCCAGAGTTATCCCCGACCATCTGATCTCCAGCACCGCCAGCAAGCAGATCGTGACCGTGATGATCAAAAGGTAAACCAGGAAAGTCACGTTGAGCGTCTGGACGATAAACTTCCCCGTGAGAAGCGACAGCGCCGGCAGGAAGCAGTAGACCGTGAGGAAAATCGAGGTGAACGGGTAGATGCCGACGTTGAGGTAGGCAATGCGCTGCAGGAACTTCATTCTGGTGCTGGCGAAGAGAGCATTGTTTCGGGAGTAGAAGATCTCAACCGAGCCTGTCGCCCACCGCAACACCTGATGCAATCTGTCCGTTAAGTTGATTGGTGCTGTGCCTCTGAAAGCGTCACGCTTCGTCACGCAATACACGGACTTCCAGCCTTTGTTGTGCATGGTGTATCCCGTAACCACGTCCTCGGTGACTGAACCGTATGTCCAGCCGACGTTCTGTCCCCACTCCGTCTTGTCCTCGTACCAGCACGAGATGACGTTGATCGCCTCCGCAACAGTAGCAGCATCCAGTGGTTCTCTTGGAGAAATCAATGAAGCAGCTGGTCTTCCGAGCATCACCCCCTGTCCCGAGAGAGGCCTGCCCTGGAACTCAGCGTTGGAGATGGAAGCTACAAAGCTGGTCGATGTCCCGTAACGCTTTGGCAGCAAAGTCTGGGCCTCCAAATCGTCTTCGTTTTCCTCCATACTGATACCGGTATTCTTTTTCGTCAGCCTCGTTTTTCTCCTGTTCCAGCAGCTTCGTGTTTTACACCGAGGAGGATCGAACCCGTAGAGCGCAACTCTCCGGAATAAGCAGCCCGTTCCAACATACACGGGCCCCTGGATACCATCGAGTGCTCTCATGTTCACGTCGAAGAAGACAGTGTTGTGGTTGGCATACCGGTCATTGTGATCGATGCCTTCGAATCTCTGCGGGAACTGGACAAAGCCGATGCGATCACCACCATTATCCATCATGAAGCACATCCCTTCTCTGAATGCGAGGGAGTTGTAGACGTAGTGGTCACAGTCGAGGTTGAGGATAAAAGCTCCATTCGACATGATCGCGCTTGTTCGTACCAACGCGTTCATCGCCCCGGCCTTCTTGTTGTGGTCATACCCCGCTCGTTTCTCTCTGGATACGTATACCAGCATTGGTAGCCGAATGTCGCAGTCGGACGTATCGATAAGATTGTTGTCATTGTCAGCTGAGCCCATGAGATGCTCGGTACTTGGAGGCGCAAGCATCACCTGAAACACCAAAACGTCAATAAGATCATATTCGCGAGAAGAAAAACTTACTTGAATTATTCCAGCGTGATCTCCTCGTCCGTGCTCACTGCCTGAGCTAAGCCATGTCCCCGGCCAGTGCGTACCATCGGCCATCCAGGTGGCCTTTGGAACGTTAAGCGGCTCTCCCGGGTTACATCCGCTATCCACCTGAATCCTCTTTGCTCTGATCTCTTCGTGCGCATTGTAAGCGTCAGACCTCCTCCGGATTGCATCCCCGAGGCCATTTATCCGAACTTTGAACTCGTCGTATTCACGTTTCACTCGTCTTCTGTCCTTCACGAAATCCGCGCGAACTTTGTTCTTAGTCGGATCTCCCTTGAGCATGAAATAAGCCTCCGGGTTCCGAGGTTCGATGCTGTGCTTCCGACAGAACGGCACCCAGATTCTTGAGAAACTTGCTGCTTCAGCCAATGCTTCGAACGTCAACAGTGAACCACCATCGTCGGAAAGGTAGCAACACAGCTTCTCCACGGGATACTCGGCTGCGAGAATCGAGAGGATGGTGTTTGCTGTTACCAGAGATGGCTCCTTTTCCGGATCAGCTGTCGACACAAAAATGTCTATCCCCGGAAGATCAGACCTGCCCTTCGGATTTTTCGCTGTCGGCCTCTCAAACTCGTCCTTGAGCACCGCCAAGTTGGTGGTGCGATTTACTGGACACAACTTCGGCAGCTGGTCGAGAATCCAAGAGAAAGCGAACCACAACTCGCAAACGATTGACAGTCCCCACAGCCACATTGCCTCCGGGTTTGGATGACGGATCCTCCACGTGATGAAGAGTCCCAGTGCGGCTAGCCTGACGAAAACCAAGAGCCTGCATGGAACAACGTACGGGTTTAGCTCTAAAGCTCGAGAAAAAGAAAAAAAAAGCCAAGTCCGTGTACCTGTAGGGACTAAGGATAGCTGCTGAGACGTTCGTCTTGCGCGTCAGGGGACGTCTCGCCTTGTCCTTGAAACTCGATGGCATTCCATCGCCAAAGTACGTATCATCCTTTGGCCACAGCGCATTTCCATACCCGTAAGTCCCTTTCGTCTCGTAAAGCCATCTCGTGTGATCGAAGTCCTGCTTCATCGACCCGGGCTGGTTGGATCGTAGAAGAGACAGCCTCCTGGGAGCTGGGAGCGGCAAAGTCTCGGCATTGGGACCCTCGATATCGAGCACCTTGTACATCTCCTTGCAACCGGGGCACTTCCCACCATTGTTGATAGCATCAAAGTAGCAGTCTCTGCAAATCCGGAACGCGCACTCGCACGGGCTTAGATCTTCGCCCATCTCGTCCTTCATGGCCTTGCCATCACACCCAGCGATAGCGCAGCTGAGCGTCATCACGACCTTGGCCTCCTTCATCTGGTCCATTACGTGGCCCCTGGTAACGCTCTGGAATCCGCCCGTGAACATCGCACTGGCCATGTCCCCCGTCTTGGGCGCCGCGAGAAACCCCGGATCCGGAGTGGGAGGGATCAACACCGTGTAGTTTTTCGCTGTCGATACCGCCTCCCGGCCGGGATCATTCCCCTCCCGGGGCATGAACACATAGCTTCCGCCCGGCGATCGATGGCTGGGAGGAGTAGAGCACGCCGTCGGCGATGGAGTGCCGGATTTCAGGAAGCGAGGACTGCGAGGAGGGAGGAATCGCGGGCTGTCGATGCTGGTGTTGAGATTCCTGGGGCTGAGGAGCTCGCGGAATGGCCGGCGGCTGCTGGAGATCGAGACGGATGAAGCCGGCGACTCCATTTCCCGATCTAATGCGCTATCCCTGTGCGAAATACCTGGATTGGAGCGATCGCAAGCTAGGAAACCGAAATTTCGAGCGCCGATTGGCCCCGATCAGAGGCGCATTGTATCGAGAGAGATAGCGAGAAGACGATGGAAGGAAATATTTGCGAAATATTTTCTACCCTAGCTAGCCGTTGAGTGGAGTAGCCGTTAGATCGGACGGTACTTATTAAATTCGCACGCGCAGGGAGATGGGAATCGAACCGCAAACCGATCTTCGTCCCGAGTTTAACGCTGGTTTTCATGGAATTTACGCTCTTCATGAAAATAAAACCTGCGAGACAAAAGAACTTTATGAGCAAAGAACCAAGAATTTCTCTCTCGAAAGAAACCTGGTGAGTGTTGTTTCGATCGTTCGCTCGCTACAATCGCTTCTTCTTCTTCTTGCTCACTTTGTGGAGCTCTTGCGAGTTCTCCATGCAGTGATGGAAGCCAAAATGCGGGAACTTCTCGTACCAAGTTTCCTGTTCTTCGTGCGTGTCCCAAAACTCTCCACTGCTGCTCGATCCATACTTGCGCACCCAGCCGGTCCCATTGTGCTGCTCGCCCCAAGTCCTGTTCCATCGGTCACCATTGGTGCCCGCCCACCAAGTCTCGCCTTGCTTCTTGCCGATACCATTCTTATCGAAGCGCTCGTCCCACTTATCACCCCACTTTGTCCAGCCACCGAATTCTGATCGCTCGGCCCATTTATCTGTGTATTTCATCGCACCACCTTGTCCATCGAACTCTTCCCCCCACCTGAGAATTACGTTTTTGATGTAAGATTGTCACTGCCAAAGTAGAACTTGTTTACGTACCTCTCGTGCCAAACATGACCGTGTCCCGGTTCTAGAGGTGTATTGGGATCGATCACACTCCATTTGTCGGCCCACTTCTCCGCTCGCCCGGAAGCGTCGTAATGCTCCCACCACTTCTCGTCCCACTGAGCTCCAGTGCCGTTCTTTCCCCACTTCTCCGCGCTCTTTTCCATATGAAGCAGTCCACTCTTGGCGTCCTGCAATACTTAGAAAACTTGAGACGATACAAACTCAAAGCGAACAAACCTGCCATATGGTCTCTTTCCAAAACTCTCGCCAAACGTTCCCAGAAGCATCACGTCCAGACTTCTCCGATCCAAGCTCCTTGTAATCGAAGTCGTCACAGGCCTCCCAGAATTTTTCTTCCCACTCCACGACACCTTCGCTGCTCACGCCTCTGGTAACGCTCCAGCTACAAACCACGCCGTTTCCTCGATCCTCCTCTCCGGTTTCTTTCCACCACCTGGAGCCGTCTGGATTAACACCCGTCGTAGACTTAGTTTTGTTCGTCTGGAGATCTTGGTGCACCACCGAGTCGGCAAGCTTGTCTCTCTCTAGAACAGCAGTGGGAACTTCCGTGATCTGTTTCTTTCTTGTAGCCGCCACATTTTCTTTGATCTCCACCAAGGATTGTAGAGGTGGAAGTGACGGCGCTGCTCTGCTTTGAAACACTAGCGGAAGCACTGACCTTGCGTTCTCGGTCTCGAAAGGAAGTTCTAGGGTCTGCGCTTCCCGTTCCTTCTCAAGAACAGAGTTACTAACCTGTGTTTCCGACTGAGAAGTCTTGGGTGACAATGCTGCTTTCTCCGATGGATCCTCCACGGGCGATGGTGGTGGTGGCGGCGACCATGTCCAAAAATCTGGACCTGGAGACACAACAGTCGTCGCGGGCTCAGCGGAAGCAACCACAGAGCGACGAGGCAAATCTCCTGGAATGAAAGTTTGATGAGGAATAGAAAACTATCGTCAACTTAGAACAAGTTGGTTTGTAGTTTACCGAGCTTTTTCGTTCCTTCCCATCCCCGCGCAGCGGCCTCCTCCCATTTCTTCTCCGCAATCGTCGATGGAGCTTGCGGCCTGCTCGCCAAGAGAGCCTCCGCCGCCGCTAGTGCCGCCGCGGCCCTGTCTATCACCTGGAGCCGATGAACGCGATCGCGCTCTTCCTGAGGCACATCTAGAAGCCTGGCAAAATCCTTCTCTCTTTGCGACTGGATTTCCCTATCTTGATCCGGCTGACGATCCTGCTGGACGGTAGACGCGTGCTGCTGGAGTTGCTCTCGCTCGTACCGCTCCTTGGCATTCTTCCACATGCTAAGATAGGATCGAGCATCGGCATCAGCTCGGCCCTCTGGCGACGATTCTTGCGCTGTCGCTTGCACAACGACGATTCTTCTTCGAAATCCATGGAAAGCATCACCGCAATGGTGAAGCCCGATCACTCTCCCAGCCCTGTATCCCCCGAAAATCTTCCATTCCCCGCGGCATTCCCGCCGCCTGGCGCAGCACTCGGAGATCCCCGCATTGATCGACGACAACACCGGCGCGATCAAGGACATCTCGCCGGAGTCACTGTAGCTACGCGACCACTCCCTCACTACCCATGGCGCTCCTCCCTGAAAGCCCTAGCCATTCCCATACAGGTGAAAGCCTTCACAGCTGCCATCCATCGTCCGATCAAAAGATTCCATGGGACACGTGTAAGCACAAACAAATTCACGTGAAAATGACCCCACATTTCTCTCCACCGTTTTCTTTCAGCTGAAATCGCCCTAGAAGAAGAAAAAATTCCCATTCTTACATTCCAGCGCGAGCGCCCGGCCTCGATACTGATAATCGCCGGCAGCGCTTGAGCATCGTCACGGCCTCTTTGGTTCTTCCCTGCGAGAGCTCGACGTAAACCATCGCTAGAACAGCCATGCTACTCCCGGGAGCGATGGCAAGAGCCTGGAGCGCGCATTGCCTGGCCTGGAGGAGCTCCCCTTGCATCGCATGAATCGCGGCGAAGTTCACGTAGAGCGACGCGCGAGCTTGGGTTCCCGTGAACCTCGCGAAGTTCATCTGTTCCTTCAGGTTCCTGGAGCTTCCATCTTCGCCACCACTGCTCGCGTCGCCATTGTTGTGATCACCGTTCTTCTGAGTTGCCGCTGCTGTGTCCTCCTCTAGGAAATCACCGCTGCTGCTCGTCCAATCCATCATACACTTCTCCAAATGCCCCTCGGCTTCCTTGATCCGGTCCAGCAGGCAGAGGGCCTCGGCGGCGTAGACGTGCGCGAGAAAGCTGTAAGCCTTCGTGACGTGATGCTGTTGGAGCGCTGCCTCGGCGTTGCTTAGAGCCGCTAGCGGGTTTTCCAGGCAAAGCTCCACAAAGGCCAGGTCCACTAGCACGCAAACTCTGATCATCGCTGCCTCCAGCTTTTCTTCGGCAGTAAACGAAGCTAACGTCGAGGCAGCATCTCTTCCTTCCTGTGCCCCGCTGCTTGGTGAAACTTCGGAGTTTCCCATCACCAGAGCCTCAGTCTCAGTACCAGCAGCCAGCTCTTCCGGTTTTCCATCACGCTCCAGCAGAAGAAACGCGTACTGCAAAAATCTCTTTGCTATCGCCATCGAGAGAGTGATCGGCTTCCCTTCTTTGCCATCCTGAGGAAAAACTCCGTCCACGTTGTCTGGCTGAGTGCCACTCACCAGTGATGGATTTGAGCCGCCGGATGGAAGAACCAGCCTTCGAAACCTCCCCTTTCCGACCACCACTACTTTCACTTCTTCCTTCCTGGCTGAAACATCTGTGAGCAGCCCCTTCTCCAGCGCTGATATACAACACTCCGCGAGCCGAAGCCAGAATAGCGGCCTGGTGTAGAACATCGAGTATGATTCTTGCAGCAAACGTGAAGCCATGACGGGATTCCCACTGAGTAGCTGGACCACCCCACAGTTGTAGTAGACTGATAGCGACTTGTCTTGCGAAAACGTCGTGAGTTTCAGAGGCCTTTCCTTGCTCATGGATGAGTATCTTTGCAAGGCCTTGGCGAAGAACAGCGCTGCCGTTTGATCCTTCCTCAGATAATGGTAAACGCAGCCGAGGTTGGAGAGGATCATAGGAACGACGGCATTCTCGGCACGAGCAATGCAGGTCGTCAAAAGCTTCATGGCTTTCCGATAGTTGCCACGCAAATACTCCAACTGGGCCTTGAGAAGCAGCGCAGTGATGTTGTCCTTCGACAAGTTCAGAGCTGACTTGACTTCCCGTTTCACAGTCTTCAAACAGTGCGTCAGAAGTAGAAACCGCACCCTGTAGAGATGCATCAGCAGCTTAAGCTCCGTCCCGGGAGCCGGATGAGATTTCTCGATCGCCGGTACTCTAGTCGGTAGGCTTCGAACGCTGTGAGAGCCATCGATTTCCAACCCGATACTAAGAGCATCCTCTTCGAACGTCTCTTCTCCAGAGCCCTGAGTCAAGGAGGAGCCTTCGCCAATGGGGCTTGTCACGAGAGGAGGTGCAGGGGATGAAGTGATGCCCAGATACTTCCCATCAAGAGCAGATGACGCTGCTAAAGTTGGAGGTACCACAGACAACTGCTGGACATTTGCCGCGTTCTCCAGGCCGGATTGTCCTAGTCCGTAAGATTTTTCTACATAGTGCAGTACGAGCTGCACAATAAAACGTTGAAAAACAAGCGATAGATCAAACAAACTAACTTACCGCGGCACTCTCAGCCTTTCGAGAGGCTAATGCAATATCCAGCATCAAGAGACATATTTGTAGTGCACAGCTCTGGAAATCCAACTCAAACGAGAGCAATTTAAACAACTGGGACTTCACCTCATCGACGGGTTCTATGTTCGCAAAAAGAGGCTCTACCACATGAAAAGCGGAAGCATACTGCTTCAAATGGTAGTAAACAATAGCCTGTGAAAAAAGAAAACGTAAGACGCAACTCCAAAGCATACATGAAAAAAAGCTTACAGTATTCAAGGTGGGAATGGAGAGATCGTAATCTTCAATGTAGGATCCTTCTGGAGGGGAGGGCTTGACGATGGTATTCCCAGTAGTAGAACCATTCGGACTAGTAACGTTGTTCCCAATTCCTTCTAGTTGCTCGTCGGCAGCTCGAGCAAGCTCTTCGCATGTCCTCTGCTAAATCTCTCGGAGCTAAATCGAAGTAAATTCTCACAAGCACTGCTTCTTACCTTAACCTGTTCCAAAACATCGAGTAGCTTGTAGGGATCTGTGCAGCCATCCCGGTAGAACTCTGCCAATGCGATATTGTGAATAACCTAGAAACAAAGAGAGATGAGCGCTTCCAGAGATCAATCGCACACACGCTACCTTGGGATCACTCTCCTTCTTGGCGAGAATTTGCTGGAGCAGGCTCAAGCATTCTTGGTAGGATTTCTTCTCGTAGAGAGCCGCCGCTTCCTTCGCTAGCGCCGAGCCCGCATTGGTGCCGCTCTCATCACCTGGAGAAACCACTGGCGAAATCCCTGCTTCCCTCTGCGACATCGAGACCTCGCCCTCGCTCTCTCCCTCCATAGCCCGGGCTTTCTCAATCTTCCCCAGCCCTTGAAGCTCCCACAGCCGTCAATTCTATGATTTGTTCCGGGCCGTTGGATCAAAATCTTAAACCTCTGGAAAGGGTTAGGGTTCTTCCGCGCTTGATGGGATTATTTGCCCGCATTCTCGCGCTTCCTCCTCGGCGATCGCGATCTTGGCACAGGTATGTCCAGGCGCGATACTTCGAATCGATGGGCGCCAGGCCCTCTGGCGGATTCGGACGGACTTATATCACGAAGGAGCAGAAGATGGCCGAGCTCTTTGGCGGGAGGCGCAAATGCGGCTCTGACGATTCGTGGAGCCTCAGTCCAGAGGATAAGCCTCGGGCCGCCTTGGGGAGGGATTTCGCAATGCTTCCACCGGGCGATTCACCACAGAGGCGAGAGATGAAAGCGATGATCAAAGACCAGATAAAGTCCAAGATCAAGAACAGGCTTCAAAAGGAGCGGCAAGCGTTCTACGATAGGCAGCCCAAGAACGAGGAGGAAAGAATCGAGCTTAAGATCAAAAGAGTGAGTAGCTCTTGAAGTTTTCGTTTTACACATCTGTCTTGTCTTAGGAATTCCTTCTTTGTGCCAGGCCTACAAGATCATTGGCTACAAGCAATTGGAGCTTAGGAAGTACAAACTGGAAGAACCGCCGCTGTCCGCCTCAATCCACGATCCAGAAGTCCTGACTGCCGAGCAGCTTCACTACTTGAAGAAGATCGGCCAAAAGTCGAAGAACTACGTCCCTGTCGGGAAGCGTGGAGTTTACGGTGGTACCGTCGAAAACATGCATATGCATTGGAAGAGACACCAGACAGTGAGAATGGACTGCCACACTTTCAGCATGGACGAAGTGAAAGAAATCTCGGAAGAACTGGCGAAACTAAGTGGAGGGATCGTTGTGGACATCCTCCCGGACAAGACCATCATCTTGTATCGAGGAAGGAACTACGAGCAGCCGAAGAAGCTCATCCCTCCGAACACTCTCACCAAGCGAGCGGTGCGTAAGTATAGTTCACTCTTTTTCCATTCTTTGTCTCGTTTTCGTTTGAAGTTCATCTTGGTTTGCTGGTTTTTCCAGGCTTTGAAGAAGGCAGTGCTCGAGCAGTCGATCGCTGCCCGGCTGAGATACGTCGACTTTCTAGAGCGCAACCTCAAGCAACTCAGGGAGCAAAAAGAGTACGAGGAGAAGCGAAAGATGCAAGCGATCGAGTACAAGGACGAGGCCGTGCGAAGCGTTCCCGTGAGGAAAGTTAAGCCATACTTCAAGGCCGTGGGAGACGCCTACGATTTCGAGGACGACAGCGATCCTTGCTCCGAGACCGAGTCGGACGAGATCGACGAGGACGACGAGGAAGGGGCGATTCTCTCCGGCGAGGAAGATCAAAAGTATCTCTACGTCGAGGGCGAGAAGCAAAGGAAAGAGTTGAAACACATCCGCGAGTTCCTTCTCCGGCACAGGATGAAGAAGAAGCGCCTGGAATCCAAGCTCCGGAAACGAAGAGAGGAGTATGAACGGTTTGGATGGTCCAACCGAGCGTCCACGTAACGCGTGGATCGTCCAAACAAGCTTTCACGTGAGGGTCATCCAACGGCCCAGGATTTGGTATCTTTGTCTGGCAGTGCGTGAATCGGACGGTGCTACGCTGCAGATCTTGACCGTTGGAGGTGGTTAAATTGAGGCCGTTGATCTAGCTAGCTTGTGTGTTTTCTTCTACTCGTGTTCTTCGAGAGCGCATTTGCCCTGATTCTCTGTGTTCTTGCATTTTCCCTTGTGCGCCTTGGATCGATCGTAGGCGCTTGGCGATCGATCCATTTGGATTGTCGGTGTTTTAGTCTTGCGCTGGCGGCAGCAGCAGTGCCGGTAACATTTGCTTTCGTTTTTGCTCTCTCCGATCTCTCTCTCTCAGACATTCTTGGCGGTCTCGCGATTCTCTCAGGGCATGATGCAGGAGGGGGTGATCAGCAGCGAGAAAGAGGAGCGGAATAAAGAATTCAAGGAAGCATTCAGTCTCTTCGACAAAGACGGTGATGGTAACGCGAAATATTTTCCTGCGAATCAATCGATTCCACTGGGCTACATTCCTTGGTCGCCTCTCTAGGTTGCATTACAACGAGCGAGCTCGCGGTCGTGATGCGCTCCCTGGGCCAGAATCCCTCGGAGGCGGAGCTCCGGGAGATGATCGACGAGGTCGATGTGGATGGCAACGGCACCATCGATTTCCAGGAGTTTCTCAATCTCATGGCGAGGAAGATGAAGGTACCAATCTTTTCTACCTCCTCCTCGATGTGATAGCATGCTTTTTTATGCATTCTCTCGCCTCGCGTGCTGGAAAGAACAAGTGTTTTAAAAGTTCTCTTCCTATCACTCCAGGACACGGACACGGAAGAGGAGCTCAAGGAAGCCTTCAAAGTCTTCGACAAAGACCGCAACGGACTCATTTCGTGCGCGGAGGTCTGTGAGAGACATGGATTCTTGGTCTTGTTTTTCGTTTCCTTTTTGACTGACTGGAATTTCTTCCCAGTTGAGGGACGTGATGATCAATCTGGGCGAGAAGCTGACCGACGAGGAGGTAGAGGAGATGATCCGCGAGGCTGACATGGACGGCGACGGTCACGTTAACTACGACGAGTTCGTCAAGATGATGGCCAAGTAAGCTAGATAACTCTCAGAGCTCTTATTACTCGCAGGCGCTCTGCGCGACAAATCGCCCGCATGGGCGTCCTCGGATTTTGGTCTGTAAAGCTCTTTACCCCTCCTGGCAAACTTTCCTGGCTGGGTGTCATGACTTTCCTCCGCTGTGTTTGGTCCTGCTTTCGCTGTCGAACTTTGACGAACGCGCAGATCTTTGAAATCTCTGGCGAGGGTCAAACGCATTGTTTCGTCGCACCAACCGGCCAATCCATTTTCCGTCCTCCTGGAGGTACTTTATTCTTAAATGTTTCGTGATGTCATCGTCCTCTAGGTGGTGCCCCGCTGGAAAGAAAGATCAAATAGTTCCTTAAAGGTACACTGCGAGATTCTTTTTGCGTTTTCTAATCTCTCTTTAGTGATGACTGGCATCAGGCTTGCTGATAGCTTTTCGCTTTTCTCGTGAGAGTTCCAGGTTGCGATGCTAGCTGAAAGCCACCACCACCACCACCAGCAAATTAGAGACCAGCGAAGCTTCGCGATCGAGCTCGCCAGATCGTGCAGCAAGAGCATCGCGGCCGCCACTCAAGCTGTCGTCAAAATCAGCAGCCTCGTGTCACTCGCAGATGATACATTCGTGTCCAACTTAGTGATCCAACTGTACGGCAGGTGTGGAAGTCCCGAGCACGCCGCCCGCGTGTTTCGCGAGACAACGTCCAAGGACTGCTACACCTGGGTGGCGTTGATCACGGCCTACTCCCAGAATGGAGCCATGGATTCCGCGAGAGATCTCTTCGACCGGATGCCCGCAAGGACGCTAGTGTCGTGGACGACCATGCTTAGCGCTAATGCCCAAACCGGGCATCTGGAGGAAGCCGAGCGGGTGTTCGAATCCATGCCGGAGAAGGACTTGGTGTCTTGTACGGTGATTCTCTCGGCATATGCGAGGAACGCGCGTGCCAAGAACGCGGCTAGAGTTTTCTGTGAGATGGTGGAGCGGGATTTAATATCGTGGACGATGGTCGTCGTGTCGTATGCTCAAAACGGGTATCTAGAGAGGGCTAAGGAAACGTTTGATTTAATGCCGGAGAGAGACTTGACGTCGTGGAACGCGCTTCTCTCCGCGTATGCGCAGAATGGGAACCTTAAAGAGGCCCAGGCGGTGTTTGATTCCATGCAAGAGACGGATCTGATCTCGTGGAACTCTCTGTTGTCTGCTTATGCCCAAAATGGGCATCTGTGTTTTTCTGAGAGAATCTTTATTTGCATGAAGTGTTGGGACATTGTGTCGTGGAACTCAATGCTCGCGGCGTACGCGCAGAACAACAGGTTAACCGACGCGAGGAGAATCTTTAGCACGATGAAGCAGCGGGATTTGGTATCATGGATAACGATGCTGACGGCATATGCCGTCAACGGGCATATAGAAGATTCTGCTAAGCTGTTTCACTCGATGCCCGTGCACAATCTCGTCTCGTGGAACGCAATGTTGACGGCATATTCCCATAACGGGGATTACCGTCAGGCCCAGCAGCTTATAGATTCTATGCACGTAACAAATATTTTATCGTGGAACACTCTTCTCGCAGCATATGCCCGAGCTGGGCATCTGGAGGAAGCAAAATGCCTTCTCGATCAAATGAGAGAGTGGGATATAATCTCTTGGGCGACGATGCTATCGGCGTTTGGACAGAAAGGATACCTCCAAGAGGCGAGGGATTTATTCGACGCAATGCCAGTTCAGAACGTTATAACTTGGACCGCGTTGTTGGCTTCCTACGTCCAGAATGGTCACTTGGAGATCGCTAAGAAGATCTTCGAGCGCATGCCGGATCACAACTTGGTCGCCTGGAACACGATGCTGTCGGCTTGCACTCACGAGAACTTCACGGAATTTGGTGTCGAGCTCTTCCATTCCTGCCAGAACAATGGACTCCTCGTCGATGAGATCTCGCTCATAAACTTCCTCCGGATCTGCGGCCACAAGGGAGACGTTCGGGCGGCCTGTTCTTCGTTTGCTTCCATGAGTGTTGACCACCGCTTGAAACCCAGCAAGCAGCACTTCGGGTGTGTGCTTGACTTGTTTGCTCGCACGGGTCATCTCAAGGACGCGGAGGACCTTCTGCAAAACATGCCTTTCGTGCCGGATGCGCTCGACTGGAAGAATCTGCTCGGTGCCTGCAGGAATTGCAAAGACACGGATCGAGCAGCACAAGCTACTGACCGTCTCGTCAGCTTGAATCCAAAGAGTCCTGCGTCCTACGTGATGCTTGCAAACACGTACCTCTAGAACCGGGGCATACCATTTGATACAAAACGTGTAGCATTGAGCTAGAAAGTGTTGTACAGAATCGGTCGATTAGAAAGCGTTAGCTTAGCAAGGAAAAAGAAAGAGAAATTAAAAATGGAGATGGTTTACTCATCCTCGGGATCTTCTTCGGCATCCTCAAACCTTGAGTCCTGGACTTCTAACTGTGAAGCGAAGGAACCATGTTAGACAAGAAAGGCACGGAAATAGATGAAAACTTTTACCCCTTCCATTCCACGCTCCAGATTTTCGCTTGCCATCACTTCTTCAGCATTGAAGAACCACTCGCCCTCGCCTTCTCGTTCTATGAAACATCGAGTCAGAAACTAAAACAACGAGCATAACACGAAGGGAAAACTATACCTCCTTGAGGATCGGGATTCAAGGCAGCACACTCGCAGAGGACCTGGAATATGTTATCCACTACAGTTCGTCGTCAAGGATAACCAGTCTGGCCACCATTCATCTACGAGCAACTGGGAGAAAAAAGGATACACACTGCTGGATCCTGTGGCACAAGCCGCATTTCTCGTATTTTGGACAGATTTGCGTCGCCATTGGCAACTTCATCCTCTTCTTCCTCTTCATCGTCTTCGCAGTACTCGTCGTCACCGTTTTCGATCTAAACTCACACGGTAAATCACTCTACTCCAAGGAGGCAAAGTCCCTGAAAACATACCTGGCAGTACACGCAAGGCGAAGGATAAGCTTCCAGGTCCCTGGAGATGGCGTGCATAGACAAGGAAAGAAAATCCACAGCATAGCCTTTGCCAATGTCGCGATCACTCAGCCACACGAGCCTCCTGTTGGAATCAAATATTTCAAAAGAATTTCAAAAGAGAATGGGGGATCACGAAGATTTACCTCGTCGTGATGTAGAGAGTCCCGGATTCTTGAGCATCCGAGTCGCCAAGCACGATTCCCACGAACGGCTGCAGCATCGCGAAGCTCTCGCCCTCGGCCTCGTCCAGAATCGGCGCGCCATCGCCGCCGCGGTTTGGCACAGCGACGAGACCACCGCTCTTCATCGATCGAGCGCGATTATAAGGAAACCCTGAGCCCTAAACCCCAAATAGAATATTCTTAGGGATATGCTCAGTGGCGTCCACGTGGACAAAAAACTATCTGGCTATGGCGCTAGGTTTAGGGCTAGGGTTTTATCGATGCTGAGGACTTAGGGAATGGCAGCTCTGGCTGGGATGGAGGAGGAAGCGGAAGCGCCGTCGGCGGAGCTCGACGCGGAGGCTGCGGGGCTGGATGATCCGGATGAGCCGCCTCCCCCGCTGGAGCTGGACGATTTGGCGGTAGGCAGTGACGAGAATGCGGAGCTCCTCAATGGCTCCTCGATGTATTTTGAGAAAGGGGGAGGCATTCCCGTCGATCCCGTGGTCACGAATCTCAGCGAGGACCTGGGGGACATGCGCGACCTGGATTTCAAGGAGCCGCTGAGGAGCAATGGCAGCAATGGACGGCTTCTTTCGCTTAGCCCCAGCCTTAGCGGCGGCGGCGGCTCCATGCAGATGTTTGACAGCGGCGGGGAGGACGCCGGCAGCTGCCGGAAGCGGAAGAATCGAGTGCTTTTGCCGCTCGAGGTAGGGACGAAGCTGACTTGTAGATGGAGGGACGATAAGTATCATCCAGTGACGATCATAGAGCGCAAGAAGGTGAACGATGAGTACCACTACTACGTTCACTACTCAGAGTGTAAGTTTCCCTCTTTCTTTTCGCTTCCTTTTCGCTGATGTCTACCTGTTTGTGATTCTAGTTAATCGGAGGCTAGACGAATGGGTTAAACTCGACCAGCTTAACCTTGATGCCACCGAAGCTGATGCTGTAGAGAAAGTTGAAGATAAGGTACGTGAGAGTGTTTTGTTTTCTGCTCGACCGTCTTAAGCTCTTCTTGGAATTTCTGGATCCAGGGGTTGAAGATGACTAGACATCAGAAGCGCAAGATTGACGAAACTCACGTTGAGGAGGTGAGTGCGAATTTCCAAGTTCTAATTTGAAATTCTGGATTGGTTTTATTTTCGTTGCAGGGGCACGAAGATTTTGATGCAGCTAGTCTCCGGGAGCACGAGGAGATAACTAAAGTCAAGAACATCGGAAAAATAGAACTTGGAAGATATGAGATTGATACATGGTATTTCTCTCCCTTCCCTCCAGAGTACAGTGACTGCAACAAACTCTTCTTCTGCGAGTTTTGTCTTGCTTTCGTCAAACGTAAAGAGCAGCTCCAAAGGCACATGGTAACTGTTGATTCGTTTTGTACTAATTCTCAAGTCATTTAATGTTTCAGAGAAAATGCGACCTGAAGCATCCTCCCGGTGACGAAATCTATCGCAATGGATCTTTGTCAATGTTTGAGGTACGCTATCCCTTGTCTTGTCTCCAGTGACGTGTTAACAATTTGCGCGCAATAGGTGGATGGGAGAAAGAACAAAGTTTACTCGCAAAACCTTTGCTATCTAGCAAAGCTTTTTCTGGACCACAAGACCTTGTATTATGATGTAGACCTCTTTCTATTTTACATTCTTTGCGAATGTGACGATCGAGGATGCCACATGGTTGGCTACTTCTCAAAGGTAAACAATATCGCCTACCCTTCGAATTGTTCTTTCCACTAATTTATTCCGCTTTTCTTTTCTTACTTTAGGAAAAACACTCTGAAGAAGGTTACAATTTGGCGTGCATTTTGACACTGCCGCCTTACCAACGGAAAGGATACGGCAAATTTTTAATTGCATTCTGTGAGTTTTATATTCTTGGGATCTTATTGCGCCTGCTAACACCGGCCGAGTTTTCTTTGGCAGCATACGAACTTTCGAAAAAAGAAACCAAAGTCGGGACACCGGAGC